AGCCTGTGAAGGCTAAACATTTTAATATCTACCATGTTAAAGAAAAAGTTTACTATTTTCCTATATAGAGAGAAAATGTGAAAAAGCAAATAGAAATAGCAAATAAAATTATAAATCAAAAATTGCTTATAATTACTAACAAATGATACCAAGAAGTAGGAAAAGAAAGTAAATGAAATATCTAAAGACAACAAAGTAATGGAGGAGTGCATTTCTTAAGTAAATGGGAAACACATTTCATGAAAAAAATACAGTTTAAGTGACATATATGATAATGCCCCAGAACTGCCAGCTATAAAAGTTATTATAGTAAAGGTACTAGATTATAGAGATAAATATAGATTCCTTTGACCAACAAGCATAACTATCAGATCCCTACAGACACAGGACAATTTAGTTAGATGTTGAACTTCTCTGTCCATGCCTCCTCCCCACCAAAACAGTCAGCTCCCGGTGAGAGCCACAAGATCCCATAGTAAGGAAGTGCAAATTAGAATTTTATATTCATAAACTATTTTTCAGTTGAAAAAAAATCTAGGAATAGTGTGTGTGTGTGTGTGTGTGTGTGTGTGTGTGTGTGTGTGTGTGACAAGCAAGTCTCCCTTTGTAGTTCAGGGAGACTTGAACTCAGTAACTCAGGCTGGCCCCAGACTCATGGGGATCCTCTTGCTTCAGCCTCCAGAGTGCTGGGATTACAGGAATGCACCACCATGCTCAGCTTCAGATAAATAGTTTTTAAACAGGAAAAAACTCAGGCAATATTTTTTTCCTGATCCCTTTCTGAAAAAAAAAAAAAAAAAAACCACTGGAGATCAAATTTTACCAGCAAAAGATGTCCAAAAATTCTACATCACTGGATTGGCTTACCCCAATACAAATGAGACAGAGACGTGTGGCATTAAGCTACAATTAAATGTAGCAATAATGCACCCAATCAAAAAGGAAGGCATACATAAAAGGTGAAATGTAGTTTACTGTTTACCTCACCTGTCATAGCAATCAAGAGGTATTATTTAACCAATTTTTTCATATGTTTTAGTAAAGATCTATAGTGGGAAAGATCATATTATTGATACGCCACAGTTGTGGAAAAAAGTATGTGATCACTAGAGCTAGTGACTAAAAGAAGAAAAATATAATAAATCAGCCAAACATAGGGTGGTGGCACTCATCTATAATCCCAGCACGCTGGGAGGCTCAGGCGGGAGGATTGCAAGTTTGAATCCAGCCCAGGAAGCTTTGTGAATTAGCAAGACTTTGTTTCAAAATAAAAAGTTAAAAAAATAAAAAGCTTTGGAAGGTAGCTCATTGTGAAAGCTCTAGATTCAATCAATGCCTGGCATTGCAAATACCACCAACAAAAAAGCTATTTAAATTATAAAAATAAAATAATATTACTGAAATGATAACAAATTGCTTATCAATAAATACAAATTCCTTGAGCTTACTTTAATAAAAAATTAAACAGAAACTTCAGATTGCACTACAAACAAGTATAAGCCCTGTATTGTTTACATGACATACACATCTAAAGTGGTAACACAGGTTGAAAATGTTATCTCGGATGAGTTCACACAATGAAAATAGGGGCTCAGTTTAGTATCAGAAAAACTGAAATCCAAAGTAAAAACATAAAACAATTCAAAGACGCACACTTCACTAGGCTTCAGTTACCACAAAGACTGTCAGTTACAAAGATCCCACATCAGCGAGTGTGGTGCCACGTTCCATACTGCAAAACCTCGGAGAGATATAATGATAGTCATGCTTATAATAGGAAGCTTTAATTTGCACTCAGGCCAGGGAGACCTAAATAATCAGTGATGAAATGAGTAATGTACATATAATTGATACATACCAAAGTCTTTACTGTCAAAATAATGAATATAATTTTTTAGAGCTCTTGGCATAGTCACAAGAATGACAATATGCCAGGCCACCTAAAGGTCTGGTCAAGACAACTGAGCTATATTTATCAAAATTACAGTGCCATGTAGCTTTTGATCCAGAAATTTAACTTTTAGAAAATGACTAGTCACATGCACTCTAAAGTGAAATTACCTATTTATGAGATTAGTCTCTGCAAAATTGTTTGTAGGGTAAAAGGTTGAAATGACATAATTATCTATTAACAGATCTAACTGAAGACATTTCTATACAGAGCATCGACATATAATACATCTGAGACGAGGAATAAAGAAGCTCTTCCTAAAAGAGAAAAATTTCTAGCATATATCCCCAAAGGAAAAAGTAGATGTAGATTGTATAATATGCTACCACTTTTCCCTACACTAGAGTCACTATATTTCTGTATATAAACATCTGAAAAGAAACGGTGCCATTAGAGCCCTGGAATAAAAGCAGTGAGTCCTGTCTTGGGAAACTGGAAGAGGTTGGGGTGAATGATCTGTGAACTGAGACTTCAAGGACGAGGAGTTTGATGAGTAGTCAAGATCAGAAAGGGCCCTTCAGGCTCTGGAAATGGATTATCCAAAGACCTGGCCGCAGGACAGTGGGCCCCGCACACAGGATTGGGTGTTGAGTACACAAAGGCGACGTGCAGGGGGCAGAAGAGGATGGAAACAACTTGGGAGGGAAAGTTATCGAGTAGCAGAGTAAGTGTGGAGACAGTCCGCACGGCACCGAGGTGCTGTCAGGTTCCAGGAGTGAAGCCGAGTTGATTGCGGTAACTACCGCAGAAATGACACTGTCCCTCTGGGCTCGGGGCTCTCCATCCTTGCTACACAGTAAAACCACTCAGGGAGCATTAAAACTAGAATTTCAAAACAATTAATTTAGAATTTCAGATTGTAAGGACATGCCATAAAATATTTTTAAAAGGCTTTTTTTATTATTTTCATAACACACATCCGATACTCCTATATTTTTCTTTCCCTCACTTCTTTTTCCTCTTTTTTGTTTTAGTGAAAGCAATAATATGGTACAGAAAGTGGTTATGACATATGTCTAGAGAAATTGCTGAAATAGAAACAAGAGATAATAGAAAATAGTTCATGCAAGCGATGATAAAGGCCTTTAACAAGGGTAGTGACTTGAAGTTAGTGAAAAATTTTGAACGCATGAAAGATTTAAGTAAAGAAATTCACAGAGTGACTGCTGATTAGGTGAAGGAAGGTGCGTCAAAAATACGTGAGGCTTCTTATGCGGGTGCCTCTGGGTTTGGCGGTGCTAGTAATCGGGAGAGATTGCCTGGGGGAGTCTTGGTTTGGATGGGTGCAAGTACAGAGGTGAAGTAGTTTAGTTTGTAAGGGTCACCTCCACAGCACCTGGAGGTATGGGGAATATCAGGACACTGAAAAACATGCTATTTCAAAACCTATATAGGCCAACTGTTTCAGAAAATTTTTCAGCATAGCAGATTGGAGTCTTAATCAGAGTTGGGACTCCAGTTTATGGTAGGGTATTTGCAAAGGCAAGGTAGGAACCCTGTCCTAGAAAATCTGGACCTGGGTACCACAGTGCAGTCTGTGTTGTATATGTAATTTCATTTTTGTTCCTCATGTTTGCTAAGTGACATATAAGGTATTTTTCATATTTATGCTATTTTCTAAAATTCAGAATCTAGAGATCATTTTAAACCTTTGAATTTCTTTAAAAGGGCATAGTTGTAAGGTCTTAAAGCTATTCAGTCATATTAGTCACATGTATGGGGAAGTACTTTTTATTGTTCATACTTCTTAACAGGCAGACAATGGATTCCTAAGGCCTAGCTAATCTTTAGGTAGATATGCATAATATATTTTATGTCTCTAGTGAGTTACTTAACTGTTCACTTTTAATAATAAGTGTCTTTTCAGGGTGTTCGCAGGGTGTCTTTTCAACTTGTGTGCTCTGAATTTACCTCTTCTGATACATCATAGAATCAGGGACTTATAAATTCGGTAAAAGGTGAAATGTTGTACATTACAGGTCAGCTCCCTCTTGCATAGGAATTTACCTGTGACCACTCTATACTGAACTGCAGAACCAGCCACAGCGTCTACCCATATTATTTATATTAAATTATCATAGAGTCTGAGAGTAAGGCCAGGGAAAGGAATCTCCTGGAATAAAAAGCAGTAAATACCATTTCCATGCAACTTTCCCTGAGAAACAGGTTAGAAATGTGTTTTATAAAGTCCCTAAAATAATAATATAATTTTATACATTAAGCTTCTCCCTGCACATAAGCAAATGGGTGTCCACTGTGTAGTGTGACTTTACCAAAATCACAGCAGTTTATGTGATGGACAGGAGCCAAAAAGCTCACCTAAGCCCTTGGCGGTATTAGGGAGGGGGTTCACCCAGCAGTGGACCTTAAGTCAGTGGAGACTCAAAAGCACTTAGGAATTGTGGGGCGCCCCTCATGATGCACCCTGAAGCTGCTCCTCTCCTGGTTACTTTTGGTTTCTCATAGCTGAAAGCAGGCTCACGTTTTCTGGTTCTGTCAGCAAACGTGTCATTAACAGAGGAAGCAGCAGCCAACAAGGAGCAGAAGTCAGGAAATGGGACAGGGATAGGGCAAGGGAGACAGCTTCGTGTACACCAGAGAGCCCAAGACAAAGAAACTTGTGTTGGGGGTAAGTCTGGCTGCACAGTATGTTTTCAATTTGAAGCCTTTTTCAACCTCAAAATCAGCTCTTGAGTGAACCCAGTTCTGCAGCTACTTCTGAATCAATTTCTTAAACATTATTCATGTGCTTAAGTTGACTGTCTAAATTTTTTATTTTTAATTTTTTTCATTGAGTAATAAACCCAAGGGATTGAACCCAATGCCACTGACATATTTCATCCCTTTTTAAATTGTTGTGTTTTGTTTTGAGACAGGGTCCCTCTAAATGTCTACATTGGCAAGAGTGGGGTCCAACTGTGGATTCTCCTGCCTCAGCCTACCAGAGTCCTCAAATTACAGCCTTGTGCCAACATGCTTGGCTTGACTTTTAAACTATTTACTAATAGCAAGATAGTACTACTAGTATATCTTAGTAGTAAACTGTCAGCATTACAAATAACCCAGCTCCCAAACAATAAAACATACTTTTCATTCTTTAAGGAATATTCCAAAACTCAAAAAATCGGGCCTCCTTCAGATGATAATTTAAGGCATGAATCGCTTTCATCCTCTGAGCTTTCACTTGACCAAAGAAGCCAGAAAAGAAACACAGACGGAGCAGATTCTGATATAGAGTTTGTTTCAGAGACTAAAGTTACAAAGAAATCTACGCAGAAGAAATTGAAATCCTGTGAACAGAGACCTGCAGCAACTCTGCCAAGAAACATCAAACCAGCTGAGATAGCCCAGGTATCCTTTCTCTCCTTTTTCTTATTCATGAAATGTTTAACAATTCACTTGTTCTGGAAATAGCATTTGGTAAAGGTTTTGCTTCATTTTCACATTTTTAAAGCACTCTAATTATAGGATATACATTGCAATCTGTGTTTCCTGGACAGGGTCCCAATTTCTATTTTTTCCCCTGTATTTTCCATTTTGGTTAAAACTGATTGCTAATATCAGCACAGTGAAGGTCTTCCAAAGAATGTCTAAGTGGCAAAAGTATTTTATAGTTGTATTTAAGAGAGAAATATTCATATAGAGCAAACTTTCAGTCTTTAGGATTTTGCATTCTGTGCTTTGTAGGGAAAGTTCTTAGCTAATGCATAGAAAGATTGTTATTTCTTGTAGTCAAGGTTCTGGAAAAATGGCATATAATATCAATATATAATAAGCATTGAGACTGACTTCAACAAATGGACCACCCCAGGATTTTCATGTATTCAAATGCATTTTTAAAAGAATCTTAACATAAATTCCTACAATATCATCATTATTTAATTCATTTTTAAGAATGTATCCTTAGATTTAGTTAATATAATATTTTCAACTGAATGGGCATTTACTTGTGCTCAGGGTCAGTGCCAGATAATTATAAACATTCTCACCCACTTCCATTTTGCATCATTTAGAAGCCAAAATTTGTGATTTAATTATCTCATTTATCGAATTTGGCATGTAATGTATTTTAACTGTTTTCACAAGTGACATTTATTCTTGGAGGTAAATATGGATCACAGTGGAAATACTCAAATTTCTTGCCATAGGATCTCAAAGCAGTATAATCTTCTTTGATCAGCAAATATCTTCTAAGCCTCTGCCCTGGGTGTTGCTTGGTGGGTGACAAGATAGTCTGGGAATGTTCTTTGGAAAGGAATTACTGTGAGCAATAGGCACTTTACAGAAATTTCTTATACTTCCCTTTGTAATCTCTTTGGCAAATGGTATAGTCTTTTTGAAAATCTTTATTCCAAAAGAAGCCTTTTCTCATTCCATTTTTCAGTAACTAAGCCTCTTAAAATGCTTGACATTCTTTTCTTTAGAATTTTGAAGTTTTGCCAGGTGTAGTGGCACATGCCTGTAATCCCAGCACTCAGGAAGTTGAGGCAGGAGGATCACTGAGAGTTTAAAACCAGCTTGTACTACAAAGTGAGCTCAAGGCCAACCCAAACTACATAGCAAGACCCTGTCTCAAAAAGATTGAAAAAAAAAAGGAATTTTGAAATTTTTACCACAACTTTTTCTTCAGATTGTATGAGCTAAACTGAATCTATTTCCCATCTACACACTTTTTCACAATTTCTATCATTTCTATAATTGTGTCATATTTAATTTCATAGGTTTATATAATTAGCATATATCTAACTCTTGCTATAATCAAAGTACTAGAGTGTTGGAATATAAAAATCACTTTATAGTTATATCTCCTTTAACCTGGAATTCTAGAACTCATTAGCTGTGCAATTTCAAGATTTGGTACATCTTAGCTTATTTTGTACGTGTTTTTGTGTAATCTCAAAACATGTAGTAGACTGTGAAACTGCAAGTGTATCAAAGTGTTAAAATGTCACATTGTCGGGGCTGGGGATTTAGCTCAGTGGCATAAGCGCCTGCCTTGCAAGCAGGCAGTCGTGAGTTCGATTCCTGGTACCGATAAAAATGAGAAAAAAGACCAAAAAAAAAAAATGTCACATTGTAGAGTTTAAATACAAGGATTAAATTAGTTACATACATATGTACATAGGTATATAGCTATATGAAGTGAATATCTATGGATATATGTATGAGTATATATGTGTGTATATATGTGTACTTTATACTGCTTTACATATTTAATATACATACACATGCCCTTACACACATCCACATGTCATATTCTATACCATTTAGTATGCTGCCTACAGGGGTTCAACTGTGATCAAAACCATGCACGGTGGTACTTCAGTTAAGGAATTCAAATTGTAACCAAATTGCAGCTACATATGTACTAGGTTTGCAATTCAGTTGCAGCCAGAATTGTGGAACATTCTAGTACTAGAATTACAGAATTAAGTTGGTGAACTATGGTACCAAAATTACAGAAAAAACTTAAGTTTGTGAACCAATGTACTGCTTGTTCCTGACCTCATTAAACTTACACTCTATACATGGAGACAGGCAATCTAGTAATTGCACATGAAAATGCAGCTGCAACCATAGCAGTCGTTTACTTCTGAGCTGGAGTCAGAAACATGTTGCCTGTTGCCCTTCTGTCTTTGATGTCTTGGGCTCACAGAATCCCCTGACTACTGAGGACGTAGGACCACAGGTGTGCCCTAGTGTGCCTGGCTATTTTGACAATTTTCATTACAGAATAGTATGGGTATTTATAATGGGAAATTTGACTGTGTCTGATAGCACGGGGACATTTTTCTAGGAAGAACAATGATCTTTAAACTTGTAGGATTGTACAATTTGTGTTTAGATATCCCCCCAAAACTTCATGGATGGCTGAATCTTGAGTTTACCACTGGTTCATTGTCTAGAGCTGGAATTCGCAGTGTGAGTGCTGCACCCACCCTGGGGCGAGTAGCTTGCATTCAATATAAGGGAAGGAGAGCAGTTTGCTCTGTACTTTTTGCCCTTTTGCTCTTGTTGCTTTTGGAATCTGCCTCAGCCACTTTGAATGGTTGCCCCTGAGCCACGCCTTGGAGCTGCTGAGTATGAACTGAAACCTCCACAAACCATGAGCTAAATAAACCTTCCTTTCCTTCATTTTGAACACCAGGTATTTTGTCTCAGCAACAAGAGAAAGGTAACCAAGACAAGGATTAACTTGGTAACAGAAGTAACAAAGTTTTCATGCAATGGGAACAGCATTTGCTAAAGAGAAAGACAAGGATGAATATCAAGTAGTAAGATAGCCACAGCAGGACAGAGAGACTGAAAGAGGGTTGTTGTGAGATATGGAGAGAGCAGCCCACACTATCCAAGTCCTACTAACACTAAGAAAAAGTTTTATATCCCTCCTAAAAGCAGCAGGAACCCCCATTAAAGGACTTCATGCAGGGGACTAGAGCAATCACATATTCCTTTAACGAAGATTGCTCTTTCTGAGTTTGGAAGAATGGTTAGTAGAAAGCAGAGTTGCTGAGAAAAAACAGTCTTTTGATCCTTACTTGGCCACATAAGAGTTAATCTTGTGTCTGGCACACCTTTATACCAAGAAATAAAGGACCCATGAGGACCATGCTGGGCTTATATAATTGCATAGGAATAGTTTTCTTTGTAACAAAACTAATGTATGCATCTTTGCTCAACTTAATTGTATGTGTTACATGGCATTTGGTAAGCACCACTACAACATTTGTCCTCCTCGGGTAGGAGAGGTATTTCTACCGAGATAAGAGAAAGATACAGATAGTTTCTCTGTGTTGGCTACTTGAGATAACCTACTGCTCTGGGGAGTGATGCTCATTACAAAAGTCAATTTTGTTTTCTTTCATTGTTAGTAAAGCATTACTGTATCCAGTGCTTGTCAATACTTTACTTAGTAACTCCAATACCAGGGTGCAACAGATGGAGGTGTTTAAGAGTACTCCTTGGATAGTGATTGCATGGTATTTTGTTTAGTAGTCAAGCTTATCATGTAATGACATGCATTGAACAGTTGGGGACTATTAAAATGGTCCAATAGAGAAATCCTGCTAGTGTGGTTTAGGATGATGGTGGAGAGTTGGCCACATTGCTCTGTCTAGGTGATATATTGGATCCACAGGGTGAAGCAGAGGGATTTGGTAAGACTAAACACAAATTTTTTAGCTCTTTCACTTGGTGGGATGGTGAAAGGTGAAATATTGTAACTATTGAAATAGAATCCTAAAGAATGCTGGCCATGGAGAGCTGATGAGTTCAGCTCGCATAGTATGTGCCTTGTGAGGATGAGTAAGATAAGAAGCTTTATATGTGAATCTGGATTCCAGAATTGAGGGTTAAATAGGAGACACACTTGTGGGGGAACTTGCTGATCTGATTATGAATGAGGTTGAAAGATAAGAAATAAAGGGCTAGTCAGAAAGCTCAATGTTGGAGGATAGGTGTGCACAGAGAATTGGGGAGGAATTGTCCACACAGAAAGGGTCGAGAAAGCAGGAATTTGTTATCATTAAAACCAAGAGGGGAAAAGGTGATTTAAAGAGCTGTGATCCACAATACCGTTGTCTAGCAAGGCTGCTCAACCAACTAGAAACCACATTCTTTGACTTGATGACTTCACAGTAATGGGAATGATCTTGGAATTTGGTAAGCAGGAGCGAAGAGGATAAAAACCAGGTCTGAACACATCGATTAGCAAAAGCAAGATGAAGTAGAAGCAAGCAGCATCACCAACTCTTGGAAGAGTAAGCTAGTTTCACTCTGGAAGATTTTCTATACGAAAATCTAGAAGTGAGGTGGACAAATCAGCAGACTGTAATAGTCTTTAGAGCACTGGTAACATTCATCTCATCAGGTTATAAACTATAGTTAAAACAAGTTTGGATTACTTGAGGATTATTTACAGTAAATTTCTAATTTTCTGCCCAATAAATGTACTAGAAATTACCACTACCAAACAGAGGAAGTACAAGAAATGTCACTAGTTTAATATTAGCTTGAGTTGCATGGAATTAGAAGACATATATGCCCCAAGTAAATTTTATCCTATGCTTCAAAACCTTGATAAAGATGGGCCTAGAATCGACTACTTTTTTTTTTGTACCATGTATCAAACTCATGACCTTGCGCTTGCCAGGCAGGTGCTTATGCCTACTAAGCTATATCCCCAGCCCTCAACTACTATTTTACCTTTTCTGTGTCAAAATTTAGTTCCACTAATACAAGCAATTAATGAACTTATTGTTCTTCCTAGAGAATTTTTTTAATCACAACTTTGCTTGTCTCAGAAGGTTTTGCTCTATCTGAAACAACTTGCCCCATTTCCTGAAAAAAAG